ATCCAGTGTTGGCCAGCGTGTCTTCTGACTCCATAATGGCCCCCACACCCATATTCATCTGAAAAATCGAATACAATGAATATTTTCACCGAATAAAACCAGAATCCTTTAAATTCTTTCCCACCTAAGGTGTCCCATAAAATTGCCGTCCTTTTTCCCTGCTAAATCTTCCAGCAGCAAGGCTTCCCCCTGGTTCCAAACCAACTTTAAGCCAGTTGAACCAATCCAGAACCCTTCCCTGTGACGCTTCAAAAGTAACTCCAATATAGGATAACTGTCCCATACCAGAAACATTTGAACCTCACAGACTTCCATCCTCCTGCTCACTCCCTGAGCATCCAGGTCCCCCTGGTTCCTAGCCAGCTTTATGTCAGCTAAAAACCACCCACCTATACTTACAACTGTTAGTATCTTTTATATCCTTCCCTTAGATCGTAAACCATAGGTGCAGGTACCTTCTCTCCTACACCTATCCTTCTTAGTTCCCCGAGTACTCGTCCGAGCAGTCAAGTGTCCCTGCTTTCCCACAAACTCTGAGCCAGTTGTGTCATTCGCTTCTTCATCCTCTTCTACCACATCCTCATGTACAGGATAAGCCCTATCAATGTTGTAAGCCTGCCCCGGCCGAAGGCATGCTTCTTTCTTTATCCTGTCAACATGAACCTTTGACACCCTTTTATCTGCTAACCTTTGAACTTTAACCACCACCTCACTGATCTTTTCGACAACTCGATAGGGGCCAGTGTATAGCGGTTGCACTTTCTTACTCAATCCCGGCTTAACTATAGCCTTTATATATACCCTGTCTCCCACTGAAATAGGAGAAGGCCTTGCCCTAGGCCTGTCTGCAGGCCTCCTTCGAATTTCCTCCTCAATATAATGCTGACATCTTTAAAAGACTTTACTCCCTACTGTTCGTAGTTCCTGAGCATAATCATCCAGCTTATACCAGGGTGCAACTTCCTCAGCAACCATGACATAAGGCCATTGTGGATCCCTGTGCTTTAAAGCAAAAAATGGAGAGTCCCTGATTATACGATGATAAGCAGTATTGTATGCCAATGTGTCTATTGTCAACATTGAGTTCCAATTCTCTGGATTATCAACAACCATTGTTCTCAAAATCTTTGTTAGCACCCCATTCACTCTTTCTACCTGCCCGTTAGAGCTAGGGTGATATGGGGTTATTACCCGTTTATCAATTCCCAGTTGTCTACAAACAGTCTCAAATAGTTAATTTAAGAACTCCCCTCCCCCATCAGAAATACATATATATATATATATATATATATATATATATATATATATATATATATATATATATATACACATGGTAGCACATATTTACCAGGGTGTATTAGATATTGTGGAATTAAAATTGATATTATTTCATGCAACTAGTTGAATAGTTAATCATTTTTCAGATATTTTCCCAATTTTAATGGAATTTGTAATGTTCTTACCATAGGGAACAATATTTAGTTTCGTTAGCAATTTGTAGAATTATTCTTTTACTGTGAAAGGTTGAGACTATAATATTACGCAAATACCACTGAATATATATGTACTAATTATTATTATTTAGATTTAGCCTGACCAAGGGGATAGGCACCATTAGCAGACTAGCCCAAGATCTAGAAACTAGACCTCAGCAACATCTGCCCTAGTCCCGATGCCCGGTTCTTGCCAGAGAGTATGTGGCTTGCATGACGCAATGCCTTCGTGTTTAGGGATTGGTTGCAAATCACGCACAGAGATGATGACCATAAAAATAATAATAAAATCATAACAGAAACAACAGCTACACCACCAATAAGAATGATAGTGACAGTGAAAATGGTAGTAATCAAAATATCTTGGTCTCTAACTCAAGCGGAAACAAAAATTGGCAAAAAAGTGCCAGTGTGACTGATTCTATCAACTTTAGTTTAAATGTTAAGTTAGAGAATAGGAAATTAAGAAATTTGAACCAGTAATCTGTATCTTTAGACAGAAATAAACTGGAAAAGACCCAACTTTAACATTCAAGTGAAAAAATAAATAAATAGAAAAATGAAAAAGAGAATTTTTGGTCACCAAGGATTCGAATCAACACAGTGTGGAGGATTCGAAACGAATTTTTCATGTAAGATATTCTTAGACATTTCTCAGTGTGCAATCTCCAAGCTTGGAAGTTGATGATAATGATAACAAAATAATAATAATAATAGTAGTAGTTGTTGTAGTAATGGTAGTAGTAGTTAGAGTAGTATGCTCTTTTAAATATAGTTATTCATCACCATCATCATCAGGGGGCTAACGCCGATGGGCATGGCTGCATCCATCCTTCGTTTCCATCAACGGCTCATGGCGAGTCTCCAGGCAGGCTCTCGGCCCATCTCTAATTCCTCGCAACAGGACTGGTCGAGCTGCCCAAACCGTTACCTCCTAGGCCATTCCAATGGCCTCTCCCACCCAGGATTGTCTCACAAAGAGATGGGCAGGGTCATCCACAGGGAAAAGAGCTAGCTACCCCCCAATGTCCTGAATCTTGGTCTTGGTCCAGGAGACCTCTAGGCCCACGGGCTTCAAAGTGCATCAAGAACCACCACCAGTATAACCACCACCAGTATAACATACTGGTGGTGGGTAGGATGGGATAGCAACATCGGTGTTGAACCACGTTATCCAGTCCATATAAGTGTTGAAAAGTATTGGTGCAAGGACACAGCTTTGCCTCACCCCCGAATTAACAGGGAAGAAGTTCCACAGGCCCCCACCACACTTTACAGTATTCCAAGTACCAGTATGTAGGCTTGCTATTTAGCCAATAATCCATGTTGGAATTTTCAGAATTTCCCATAGTGATTCTTGATGCACACTCCTTCTTGAGGTTGATGCAGGCTGTGAGCAGCCCACAACCGAACTCATGATAGTGTACCACAATGACTAGGATACAGTCTACTGTGTACTTGCCAGGAGTGAATCCAGATTGCTCCGGTCTTTGGTGACTTAGTAGGTAGTTGCAGATCTGTTCCTGAAGAATGGGGGTGAAAACCTTGCCTGAGCAGTGAAATGCTTGGATAGAGGATGGAACCAGACTGCCAGAAGGCAGTCAAGACTGCCTGCAAGACCCATGCCATAGGTTCACTCCCAGCCTTTAGCAGTTCAGCAAGGATATTACATACACCTTCAGCCTTCCCACCCTTCAACTTCATCATCCTAACCTCAGTTAGGGATGGAGGTTCCTCACTGATGGGTGGGTCCGGCACAGGTATTGTGATACTACTTGCATCAAAATGATCTGCTGGAGGGTCAACTGGTATAGCTGCTCAAAATACTCAGCCTAGCATTCACAAACCCCGACAGAATCTGAGATCTATCCTGCTACTGAGCAGACTGTAGTCATCTGTGAGCAGGGCTTTGAGTTCACTTTTTTCAGGGCTTGGTAGACCGGGCAAAGGTCATTTACCAAGAAATGGGCTTCAACCTCCTCACCAAGATTTCTGATGATCTGTTCCTAGAGTGGCAACTTGAGGGAACAGTGGTTCTGAAGTGGACCCATAATTTAGCTACAACTAGCCTATGGTCAGTGCCACAGAATTCGGCACTCCGATAAACCCTGCAGTTCTGAAGGATCTTCCAGTGAGTGCTGACAAGTATGTGGTTGATCCCCTTGGCCACAGTACTTGTATCACTATACCATGTCTCTGGGACCTAGTAAAGTACCGGAGGAGCCACGGGACGTCACCTCAACTCCCAACTCTTCTGTTCCCTCGATAGCAAGGGTAAACGCTTATAATGCCGCAAGGACTGGATTTTCCAAAGTTCTACATGGAAAGCTTGACTCATGTTAAGCCTTGGGCTGTTGCTCTAGGTGGATGCCACCCCTGCCGCCCCCGCCGACGATACCCCATATAAATAGGGTGGCAGGCTGTAGGCCCCACAGGCCTCACACTGGGTTGGTCACTGCCAGAACACAAGCAGTATGAATAACTCCCGTTCCTATCATGTGCCCCAGCAGTCACCCTCCCAATGAGACCCGCTCCAGTACCCCCAGCATTTCCATTTCTATTAATAGTTGCCATAGAGTTTTTTATAGTTAACACTAGGAAATTGTTGGTACCCCTGATTTTCCAACTACTTTTGGGTATGTGTGACATATCGCAAATTAAGAGGCTTTAAATTCACAGTAGATTTTTAATATGGTATAATACTTTGTCACAATTCTTTTTTTCTTTCTTTCTTTTTTTTAATGTTGGGTCAATCGTCGTAATATGGGAGAAGGAATTGCCAAACGATTAATATAACGTGCTACACACACACATTATTGCATTATAGTATCTAATGACTGGTTGATAAGTTCCATCAAGATCAGAACAAGGAAAATTAAATACTGGTAATATATGTAAGTTTAATATCCCTGCTGCCAAAACACTGTTCACGTGTCGAGGCATATGTTCCTGCGCCAACACTAGTTTGCAGTTCGGTCGCCTTCACATTTTTTTTTTTCATTGAATATTTTGTAGAAAGGCTCACGTTTCTTCGTCTTGCTGATGGTAAACGTTCAACCTTACCTGCTAATTGCTTCTCAAAATTATTATTTAACACAACATCAAGAAGTAATGCACTTGATTTGATTTCAGTTTCAGAAATTAAAAACCACTTGAGCTTCAAAGGAACATAATGTTGTGGTCACAAGTGTGGAGTAGATTTCCTTTTTACATTATTACAATGCTCTTCCTGAGTCTATACAAATCAGGAGCTGACCCCTCCAGAGGTTATTACAGGGCGGTAGGGAGGTGAAGAGGGATGAGCATGAATGACAAAGGAACTAATGACTGACAAAAGAAATACAACTGTTGTACACCTTGCCCGCAGGAGGGGGGTTGCACTGGATGAAGCACCACCCCCCTCCCACGGGGGATCCTTTCAGGAATTTCCTCACCACGCTTGCGCCTCACCTCAGCCGCCTCGCCGCCGCCGTGCCAGTCTACTTCAAGCTCATCGATTATGTGCCG